GACAGATGAATATATTAAAGAATTAGAACAGGAAAGAGGCGAGGGATGGGTTTTAGAATTTAAGGCTCATGATAATGATGATGATAGGTACCGGAATTCTGATGACGGCACATATAAATTTTGGAAAAATAATATGTATTATCACAATCATTGTCGCGAATGTTATAAAATTATAGATGGTAAAAAATACGATATCAAAAACGTTGAGAAAGAATCAGAAGTCAAATATTACACATTGACAACGACACATAAACAAGACTTAACCAATGGCTTTAGGTATATTAAAGAGCTACTCATGCAACGACATAATTTTAAAATGCATAAAGATTATAAAACATTGAAAAACAACAATATCAATGTGCATAGTGTTAAAACCGATGCCTTCATTATTGATAGGAAAAATATTGACAAGGCCAAAACATTGATTAAGTTTTCAACCAAAAGGGGAGGATGGAGAGCTGAAGACAATAAACAAGTATCACCACCGAGCGATATATACAAAATTAAGGTTAATGAGTTATCAGAAATTCCGACTTACAATAATGTAAAAATTCGTGTTAAAGACGAATACGACACCAAAAGCATTTGTGAGCAAATTGTGTCGTGTAATCCGGTGTTGATAAAAGCAAAACTGGCTGGAAGCGGCAAGAGTTATATAGGCGAATATATGAAAAATCTAGGTTATAATGTGTTATTCGTATGTTCTAATAACAAGCAGAAGCAAGAAACCGAAGCCGACGCCGTAACATTAAACAAGTTTTTCAGTATTCCAATAGAAGCTGGAGAAAGACTACCGACATTTGACCATTCTGATTATAATTGTATTGTGTTTGATGAGCTAGGTATGGCGGGCAATTATATTTTGAACAGAGTTAGGGAGTTTAAGGATACGTACCCAGAGAAGATAATTATAGGAACTGCTGACGGGAAGCAGTTGAAACCTATAGCTGATTTAACTAACACCCAGGACCACGAGACATATTTAAACAACTGTCTTAATCAAATATTTAAATATAAGATTTATCTTAAGATATCTAAGAGACTTAAGACAGAAGAAGATAAAATTAAATTGAATGATATATATAATGACATTTGGAAAAATAAACTGCCCATTAAGGAAATAGTAAATAAACATTTTGAAACTACAAGCGACATCATGGAAGGAGAGCATAACATAGCCTATACTAATGCTAGGTGCAAATGGGTGAGCAAAACCGTAAGAAATAATTTAGGAAAGACAGATAAATATGAAATTGGAGAGCATGTGATATGCAGAGTTTATAAAAAAGAAATGGGGCAGGTGTTTAATGTAAATATTACTTATGAAATTATTAGTATTGATGATTGGAAAGTAGAAATCCAAGATATCAAAAGTAAAACTATATTCATGACAAACACCACGACTTTAGACAAGCACTTTATACATGCGTATTGTGCTACATGTCATTCGTCTCAAGGGGCTTCTCTAGATAAAAGCATTACTATACACGAATGGGATAAATCACATTTGGTCAGCCGTGAGTGGATTTGGACAGCCCTCACGAGATGCAGAGATATCAATAAAGTCAAGTTTTTCAAAGCAGACGTAGATGATACTGATTTAAATGAAGCACAAGTAGCCAGATATTTAGAACATAAGATTAAACAATATAAATTACAAGACATAAAAGCAGAGAGAGAAATAGACAACAAACAATATATTGATGTCAAATGGTTATTTGACAGGCTTAATACCAGATGTAATAAATGCAGTTCAGATTTTGACATAGAAATAAATAATGGAGTAATAAATAGCAATATGACAGCCCAAAGAATAAACAACGATTATGCCCATCATAAGGAAAACTGTATATCTTACTGTTTAAACTGTAATCGCCGGGAAAAATAATATCTATCTTATTTTATATGGCATCTAAGCAAGATATTATTAATAATGTTTATTATGATAAGGGAGGCTTCGGGTCAAAGAACCGCACTTTACAAGAAGCAAGAAAAAAAGATAACACAATAACTATTAATGATATCAATGAGTTTTTTAGGAAGAATGTAGAACAGAAAGCCAAGCCAAGAGGACAGAATTCATTTGTAGCTCCTAACGCATATTATGAGTTTCAAATTGATTTTTTTTCATTAATGATATCCCTAAACAAAAAATGAAAGTTGGCATGATGTGTATTGACATATTTTCTAAGTATATGGTTGTTGTCCCGCTTATGTCAAAACAGCCAGCGGACATTTTAGCAGGACTGATGGAATGTATTAAAAAAATGGGTGGAAAGCCCAAACTAATTTATATTGACGACGAAGGAGCTTATAATAATCAAAGTGTTATAGATTTCTTGAAGGATGAAAAAATAGAGTTGCACAGAACCAGAGGACACCCAGCATTCGCGGAGAGGGCGATAAGGACGTTTAAAGATAGCTTGTATAAGAGGGTTGAAAACGATGAGAAAAAAGGAAAGGCTATTCAATGGACAGACTACATACACGAGATTATATTAACTTATAACAATGGAATAAAGCACACTTCGCACGGCTTAACACCGTCAGAAGCAAGAAAGCCTAAACATCAATTAGAAGTGAGTTTAAACTTAGGTATGAAAGCCAAAAGAAATAGAGTTTATCCAGATTTAAATGTAGGAAATGAAGTTAAGATATTCAGGAAAAGGAGACCGAATGAAAAGGAGAGAGTAGGAGTATGGACTAAACAAACATACAAAATAGCAAAGATTGCAAAGAAGTTAGGACAGGAATATTATTATATTGAAAATTATGACAGGGCATTTTTGAGACATGAGTTATTAAAGGTATAAATTTATTTCTTGGAAAAAAGTATTTAAAGAAATAAAAACTATATATATTATAATAGAAATGGTTGAATTTACAGAGAAAGAGCAAGAAGAGATTATTAATAAATTCTTGGATGACTTAAACAAAAATGAAACAGAAAAGATTCTCAAACACGAACTATCCAAACATAATTACAATTCATCACTATTACTTTATTTGAAGTTGCCATTCAATGCCATTAGGTTAATCAAAGAATATGGAGAACGTAAATGCAAATGCGATAACTGCATTCATTTGAACCAGACAATTGACCACGCGAATAGATATTTTAGTGATGTCTCTACAGTATACTATTTTAATGAGTTATATAAATTCCCAAAGGAAGAAGAATTAAAGCTACAGTTTAATTTGGCACCAAGCAGGTTTAAGAAATACAGATCTGGATTTAACAGTCGTTTACATGACCCTACGCGTTTAAAACATTTTGTACCATCAAGTAAACTGAAAGAATTTAATGACATACTAAAATACATTCATGAACATAATTTTACCAAATATGAACATATCAAATTAAATTATTATCCTGAAATTAACCTATAACCATACTATAATAATAACATGTAAAATATTATATGTTATAATGATATTTCAATATTTAATTTTATTTCTTGTAAAAAAATATTTAAATAAATAAACACTATATATATTATAATAGCAATGGTGGAAACCGAAATCAATAATTATATCAATAAGAAATGCTACGACTGTTGCCACTTCAAAAAGGAAAATATGGAATTATATAAATTGAATTTACCTAATGGAATAGTTAATAACATTATTGATTATTCTTTGGACGAAGAAAATATATGTAGAACTTGTAGAAGATGGAGACGATATCAAAATATAATAGAAAATTGTTTGGCGTTTAAAAATATAGATGAAAGAAATGTTGAAGATGAAATATTGATATTTTTAACTGTGTATGAAAGACCACCTTACGATTATGTTAAACAGTTTCTTAAAATCAGTAAGAAAAAGTGTGAAATGATTAATGACATATTATGGATGTTGATTTATTATAGTAAACCCGGCGTTGATGTAAAAAAAGTCATAAAATCATATATTGAAAGTGAAAAATTTAATGTTAAAAATACAGTGAGAGATATTAATATTATTTTTAAAATGATGTATGAAAGAAGTAAAACATATCAATTAAATAGTTATCCTGAACTGAAATTATAATCATAATATAATAATAACATGTAAAATATTATATGTTATAATTATATTTCAATATGTAATTTTATTTCTTGTAAAAAAGTATTTAAAGAAATAAACACTATATATATATTACAGTGGAAATGTTATTTAATTATTCAAAGTGCGAATGTTGTACAACTAAAAGGAATGATGTTAATATAACATTGTATAAGTTATTACCCGCCAATCTATGTAATAAAATAAGTGAATATGATGTATATTGTAATCAATGCTGTAAAACAAGAGACCTTGAAAAGTTGTTTGTTGAAGAACATAAGGATGTGGGATATACAAAGTTTCAATTACAATTGACATTCTTTATGAGATATCAAAAACGATGTCCTGTATGTTTTTACCATACAATTGCAAGAAAGTCATTTGAAAAAGAAATTGATGAGTTCTTCAATAATAAAGATTTGATTAAAAGGTTTGGAGGGACAAGCGCAATTAAACCATATAAAGCATTTGTTAAAAAATTTCGAGGCATGTTTGATGCGATTGATTGGCATTTATTAAGTAAAGATAAAATAAACAAGGTCTTGAATGAATTTAGAATAACTAAATATCATGTATGGTCTTACTACAACACTAAATATCAAGTATGGCTACTAGTTAATTTGTTTTTCTGGGAATATATTTATTCAATAATAGGAAAAGACAATATCAAATATATAGACATTGGCGATATTGATAAATATGTAGATTACATATTTGAAGACATTTTTCCTGACTATAAATGTAACCCATAATTATTAATCATACTATAATAATAACATTTATACCCTTATATGTTATAATTATAATGTAAGTATAGCGTTTTATATATTGAAGATAAAATCCTACAAGGCGGGCCACGCCCCAAAAAAATATATGATGAAAGTGATGAAACGAAGGAGGGGAGTGATGTTGTTGCTGTTCTATTTTTTGTCCGGGAAATGGACAAATCGTTTTTAGACAGTTCGATTTTTTTTTGATGACAAATATTTTTTGCAATATATTTTGCAAAATTTATTTTTTTGAAATGGATGAGGCGAGGAGATTGAGGAAATGACATTTTGGAGGGTAGTTGGTGAAATGAATGAGGCGAGGAGGAAGGAGAAAAGGATGGCGAAAATTTTGGAAAAATGATGATAAAAAAAACGGATGAGATGGACAGAAAGGAATGTAGAAAAATGATGAAAACAAATAAGGGTAGAAGATGGAAGATGAAAAAAAATGTAGGGTGGGGGGTATGTATGAAGCAATTTATTTGCGGGGCAAGGCCCCCGACTACTCATTTTGGGCGTCCGCAAAAGACCCACCCAAGTGCCGCCGGATGCTGGGCCCGGGACAATCTTGCCCTCCCCCACCAGGTACTTGTGCAAGTCTGCAGTGGTGCCGTTGATCTCCACCTCGCTCGACACCTCCCCCTCCCCGCCTCGGACAAGCCAGCAGCGGCAAGAACCGGCCCAGTGAGCCACAGACAAACACTCATTGTGTCGTTGTGTTCAGTGACGATGAGGATCTGTGGATCCATGCTGGAATGTGCATCATTTTGGCGTGTGTGCCCCATGTCGTCAAGGCACTGATGTTGGGATACTGGTATATCCGCACATTGCCGGCGAAGAGCTTCCCAAATGCCTGGCTCAACGGCGCTTCTCGCTTCTGCCCCAAGACCCAATCTTGGATTGCTTCAGCCTCCAACATGCCGCCGTTGTAGTCGTCGTAGATCTTCGAGTTGAAGATCCCACGAGCAATGTCGTAGTTGCCTCCGCCCACCTGGCTTTGGCGAAACCGCCAGCGCAAGCCAGACTTTGCTTGGAAAACTGGGTCCGCAGCCGCCAGGACGATCGGCGCGTTGGTGTATCTCGCCAAATACGCCGAGAGCTCGGCGTCCGACCTGTTCGACAGGACCCTGAGGCTTGCCCCCCCCCAATGTCCCCAGCCGCTCCACCCTAAAAGGTGTCTGGAGGCCAACATAAACCCTAAACGTGTCGGTGGGGCCAACATAAACCCTAAAGCGTGTTGGTGGGGCCAGCATAAACCTTGCATAAACCCGAAAACAGTGTTGATCAGGTTGGGGGTCGGGTTGGTTGGCTGCAAGCATCACGGCCTCGCTCGGACTAGGGCTGCCTATTGGCTTTGATTTGGTGTTGCTCGGGGCTGGTGACGCTGGGGATGCAGCCGGTTAAGCCCGAGCAACTCTGGCCAATACGCAGCCCTGACACCAAGTGACCGGGGATGCTGGGGATGCGGCCGCCCAGCCAACCAGCCAGCCAGCCAACCAACCAACCAACCAACCAACCAACAACAAAAAAACACACACAAAAAACAACTAAAAGGTGCCTCGGGGCCCATATACGCGTTTGTGGGGCCCAACATACATCCTAAAACGTGTTGGTGAGGCCAGGCCCAACAGAAAGCCTAAAAGGTGTTGGGGCGGGGTTGGCGCCAAGCTGTTAAAATGCTCATTTCCCAGAGCCATGGAAAGGATTAAGCCGGACATTCACACCAATGGCTTGGATCCCAGAAAACCTTCACTCCCCCGAAGCGGTGATGCCGCACTGGACTCTGGGGATCTGGCCCGACACCGGACACCAGCACCGGCAGCTTCAGGGACTCCAGCATCCTGCGAACCGAGGATGTCGAAGAACGCGAGCGCTGCGATGGAAGCGACTGAGCAATGTCTGAGCAGTGGTAGACATGTACATGGAACTTTTCCATGATGGCCTGACATTTGAGCAATATGTTCAATAGTGACCGGAGATGAATCGAGGTCAGCTTGATCGAGATTTGGGTCACGCGCGAAAAGAGGTCCTGAAGCGGTCGAGGAACTCCGCGTTGTTCACCGATTTGTCCCTGGCACCCCAAGCCCCCCCCCCTATTCTTGGTTCGAGTCGAAGACTGCGGCAGCTGCACGTCCAACCGAGCACTTGGTCCACCATCACTTTGCCCTTGTTGTCCAAATCCACGTCCTACAGGAAGCTGGTTGGCCCCCTTTACCGGGTCAACCCTGACGTGAACCTACCTTTATGTCGCTTTGCATCGCGAAGGACTTCGCAAAAAATACAAGAAGCGATGGAAATAAGTTGAAGCACTTTGAAGGAAAATTCGCAAGCACTTTGAAGTGTTGCAAGCGAGTCAAATAAGCTGAAGCACTTTGAAGGACAATTAAATGTTGCTGAAAAAGAAGCGATTGAAATAAGTTGAAGCACTTTGAAGGACAATTCGCAGGCACGTTGAAGTGCTTTGAAGTGTTGCCAAAAAAGAAGGCATTGAACAAGCAAACAAATCGATTGAACAAGAAGCGAAGGAAAACACGTTGAAGGGAAACACGTTGACCGCTTTGAAGGAAACTCGCCCGCCAGCCGGCTGGAAGCGTCGGTCTCCCCGTCCTTTGCCAACTGCTTCGCTTCATCGGCCGGAAGCCTCGATGCGGCGATGCGGCGTGCCCCAAGAGGTATCTTCGACAGCCCACCTCGAAGCTCTAGGGCTTCCTTTTCCATTCGTTCCAGGGATCCGAATCTTTTCAGGAAACCATCTAAAAAACCCGGGGAAACCGCTGGTTCTTGAAAAGAACAACGGTTGAAAAAAATTGGGAATCAACCCCTAGAAAAGCTGGTGCTCAGTAGGGGGTGACCTTCCGGGTGTTGGGAATGAACTTGGGGGTTCCCAAGGAAACCCACAAAAAATAATTAGTTTATAGTGGAACGGTCATTCCAACTCATTCTTTGCTGAGAACCAGCAAGTCTCAACGGCACAGGTAGTGCTCGTCTCGCAACCTACAGGTCCGCAATACTTTGAGTGCACCATGGCGCTGAGCTATGAGGTTGTCTCATGATAGGAGCAACCCCTGGTTCCTTTGTACAACCAACCAAAAAATAGTTGTTATTATTATTATTATTATTATTATTATTATTATTATTATTATTATTATTATTATTATTATTATTATTATTATTATTATTATTATTATTATTATTACTATTATTATTATTATTACTATTATTATTATTATTATTATTATTATTATTATTATTATTATTATTATTATTATTATTATTATTATTATTATTATTATTATTATTATCATTATTATTATTATTATTGGAAAAAGAGAAAGAAAAAAGAACATCGTCGACCTCGCTGTCTGAGCGCAGCACTTCTGCGCGAAAACTTTTTCAAGGCCGGCCTGAGGCGGACCGTCCGTAGTCAGCCCTATCCCCGAGTGGAAATCAGTTCTGGATTTACGCAGCAAGAAAAATAAACTGGGCCCCCGTTCATGGATGTGGACTCCCTCCTTATACATCAACCAACTGAGCTCTCTCCACAGACCTTTCAAATCCGAATCTTGCCCGCAGGGTCACTGATCTGCTTGGTCCAAGCGTCAGCCAGACACAAGCAGGAACAATCTTTACATGTGTTCATAATGAGCTTTACAGGTCGTGCATGGTGCAAGCGTTTTCACGCGCGTGCGCGCTTTCACGCGCAGGCGCACCAATTCTGCAATGGGCCCTGCCGCGTAGCATTGGACTCACGCAGGAGCCATGTGTTTGTGACGCCATCTTGTCCCCACGGGAAACTGTACACGATGGGGAGTGCCGGGAGAGATTAGTCTGTGCAAATGCTGTACAATTGCGTGCTGACTTCAGCTGCGACCAAAACCCATTGACGTTGCTTCTAACATGGCCAGTAAGGCTTTTGGGACTACTACAATCCCTATCAAAAACCAGGCAGAACTACCGAACGGCCAATGGGGGCTTGGGCGCTGACTTTAAACTTTGGATCTGCCCTGAGCAAAGGTGAGGGGCGAGCACTGCACGGCTCTTCTTCTGTCAAGAGCTGGCTGTGCCGCCCGAGCTCATGCCACCAGCACGACCGCAGTGGTTTTGGAGCGTCGCGCCTTTCGAGACATAACCATCTCCTTGGCTCACTTTGGCACCACAAAGTTCACAACATACTCATTGCTTTGTGAGCCTAGCCTGAAATACCCTGAAACACCCTGAAATCCCTGGAATGACCCGGCCAAGCAGCCACCCAACAAGACAGAATCTAAATCATTAGCAAAAAAAACAACTGCCCCAAAGATTGCACATTCTGCACTGCATCCTCCTCATCCTCTTCAATGTCCAAAAAGGTGTTGCGCACAATCAACCTGGGCTCCTGCTTGACTTCCGGCTTGGGAACTGCCGACTTCTTCGGCAAGAACTTGGGCTCCACGTCTTCATGCATGCCGGGCGCGCTGGATCCCCCGTTGGCGCGGCGGTAGGCGGTCTTCTGCAAGGGGTAGAGAGTCAAGAACTTTTCACGGACTCTGTCCCACTCCTGCCATGTAGACAATTGCTCCACTGGTTGGAAAGGGAGCCAAAAGCCATTCAGCAACATGTGTGTGTGTGCGATCATGTGTTTCTGTTTCTGTGTTTCTGTTTGTGTTTCTGCATTTCTGCATTTCTGCATTTCTGTGTTTCTGTGTTTCTGTGTTTCTGTGTTTCTGTGTTTCTGTGTTTCTGTGTTTCTGTGTTTCTGTGTTTCTGCGGTCGTGTGTTCGTGTGTTGGTGTGTTGGTGTGTTGGTGACGGCATGTTTGTGCTTGTGTGCTTGTGTGTTTGCGTATTTGCTTGTTTCTTTGCACGTTTGCTCGTTTGAAGGTACCCTATTCTAGGGCCTGCTTTAAAGGCAAAACCAAAAGGACTGCCACCATTCCGGGGTGCCCTCTTTCCGACACCCCTGGAGAATTAGGCCGCACAAGCCCCCCCTTTCTTTTTCTTTTTCTTCTTCTTCTTCTTCTTCTTCTTCTTCTTCGTCATCCCCCGCCCCCGAAACCCCCCCCACCCAAATCCCCCCCCCCCAGGGCCACACCTGCCGGACGACCACGCACTGGTAGGGCACCAGCTCAGAGCCGTCGAGGCTTCGAAAGGTTCGGAGCTCCTCGCCCGCGGAGGCGAGGAAGCGCTGGACGTAGTGCGCCAGCTGAAACTTCTCCTTGGCTGACACGACCCAAGCGCCGAAACCTCCGTTCATTCAGGAAACACATTCATTGAGATGGTTCTTCTTGTTCAACAAACTTGGTGGCTGTAATGACCCCTCTGCAGAGAGTGTAAAAAAAACAACAATGTGGGTTTAATTCGGACAACCCGAGGGAACTCCAGAAAAAGGTTGAAGTCAAAAGATCCGTCACCCAATAGCAATCAAGTTTCGCTGCCGAAGTCGCCTGAGCGGATTTCAAACGGCTCAGTTCAGGTCACTCCATGGAAAATGCCGGATGCCGGGAGCCAGAGGCAAACCTGAGGACACTTCCCTGCAATCCAACAGTTCGTGTAGGGATTTGGTCGCTGGCACCTCACCATCTTTACCGGGCCGGGTGGCCAGCCTCAGCAAAAAGCCTCCCCTCTCCCACATCCCGTCCATCCCGACCTCATCGAAGCATCTGCCCTGTCTTTCTTAAGTCAGCGAACAGATATTTCAAAAACAAAAATGCCTTCCGCACCCAGACGTGGAGGCCCCAAAACCTGTGTTCTCCACTGCCCCGCCTGGCTCAAAACGCGCCCAATGCCGAAAGCCCACCCGCTCCCCCGCGTCGATCTCCACCGTGGCCGGGTGCTCGGACGGCACTAGGGGCATGCCGCGCTTGAAGCTCTGCATGGACAGCACCTCGGCTAGGCCCGTCTGGGCCTCAACGTAGCGGCGAAAAAGCCGCAAAGATTGCTGTTGACCCCCCTGCAAAAAGTTTAGCTTTTTGGGGGGTTTGGTGGAAACCACCTTTATTTCCAAAAAAAAGTCTAAAGATCCAACCAAATACAGTAGCAGTCAAGAGAGGGATGGAATCAAATCGACGAACGCATGGGCCAAAGTGGCGCAGAGCTTGAGGATAGCTTGGAACAGAAAGCCAAGCCACAAGCGGAGCGCCTGCAACCGATTTTACGCCTCCGGCTTGGCGCATTTCTACAGCAAGACCTTGCCTTGCTTAGTTTGCGAGCCGCCTGCTGTTTCCGATGCTTCGTGTCCACCTGCAAAGACTCCATGGGTGAGCGGTGGCTGTCGCGCTTCTGATTTTTGGTTTGGCCTCTCTCTCTTTGTGGGTTTTCCGGATGCGAAAAGGGCTTGTTCAGTGCACGGCAAATCCGGGGCAAATCCGCCCTTCAAAACCGGGGCAAATCCGCGCACCTCCCCTCCTCACCCGTGGTGCAATCATCCCTAGCCCGGCTCGGTTCGCATTCGCCCGGCGCCACAAGAGTATCTCAAGAAATCGCCACGCCCCCGCGGTGCTTTACATCACACGCGCAAATTACGCTTCGGGGGGCGCCGTTCTTTTGACAAAAGTCGGTCCCCTTTGCCCCCGTTTTGTTGCGTTTCCACAACACCAAGGGAACGCCACATACAATGGTCTAATTTGGCCGGTTCCTCGCGTGGTTTCTGTGGCGTGGCCTATGCCGGATGTTGGGCAAGGGCCTCATCGTACCCCCAAGATATACTTTTGAATAATCGTTTATCTTCCCCACTTGGTCCAACAGAGGGGGGTTAAATAAATGCTTTTGAGCTGAGGCCAGTGCTGTGTAGAACTTCCGGTCTACTTCTCGAAGCTCCTTGATGCCAGGGCGGTTAAGGAACCACTGGGCTGTCTTCCGTGCCGACTCCAGCAAGATCCTGCACAGTGCCAAAATGCTTGACCCACCTGCCACGAATGCCGGCGAGGGACACTGTATGTTGCCCCTTTCTTGACTGCCGCATTTTTCGGGAGCCCGCTGAGATGCCTCAACCTCCCTGAAACGACTCCCGACTCGGTCCTGAATTGAAAGGTGGCCCAGTGCGCGAACCGATCCTCCGGCATACGGAGCACCGCGAAGACATCGAAGCAGTCCGTGGCGTCGCCTTGGGGGCGGGTCATCAGGAAGCCCTCCTGAGGCTTGCCCTCGGCCTCCCAGAAGATGCAAACGCTGTCGCCCTGCGTGGGGTAGTTCCGCCGCACCCTCTGGCGCCTTGGTTTTTCCACACGAAATGCCCCCCGAACGCTCGAGGCATCTCCCCCACCGCTTCTCACCCCTTACTCAAACATGGGGAGATGCCAAGCAAGAAGTACAAGGGGCCGGCGTGAACCGCCAAGCTGCAATGCCACCTGGGTGTGGGCGTCGTGGTAGAAGAAGCTCATGAAGTCCCCGACCATGCTGCCGAAGAGCACCGTGCAGAGGCGCATCAAGTTCCAAGAGGTCGAGCCCTGCACCACGGCCTCGCCCGGGGCGATGAACTCCTGCGAGTCGCACGACTCACGTCAGGAGTTTCCGAACGAAGCGATGCTCCACAAAAAGGCCCGGACCCGGCCTTGGAAACCCATGGCTGATCATGTTGCATGTGGCTTGTCACAAGCCGAAGCATTGCTTTACAGCCGGTCCTGCGGACTGACGCTGGTCCCGTTGATGGGGAACTTCTCGTTGAGCGACCACCTCACCTCTGGGCGGATAAGCAGATCGCCGGGTCTCTCCGGGGGATCGGACACGGTGATGCCTGCAAGGCCCCAATGGCACGCAGAAGCAAACAAGCACGTCCACTGCATGCCAACTCTTGCCAAGCGCAGCACGCCACAAGTTCAGCGAACCTGCCCCAACTAGGCTGTCTTCAGATCCCCTGCTGAAGGTGCACAACTCTTGGCGGGTTACATGGAAGTCCCCCCTCCAACTCAACTAAAAGGCGAAATAAGCTCGGGCGATATCCCCAACAGCACCACACCCTCCCAGAATCCTCGCGGAACGCCCCGGGACCATCCTCACCGCCGGTGTTGCTGAGGATGCCGCCTTGTAAAGCAAAGCTACGAGCTCGCCCTGATCGGGGCCCGACGGTGCAATCGGGGCCCGATCGGGGCCCGACGGTGCAATCGTCCCGTGGTGCAACCCCAGCCACCCATATTATAGCTCAACGCCGGTTTTCCTTAGCATGCGGATTGCAACTGTATCTATAGCAAAACTAGGCGACGCCAGCTTGGTACAATTGCCGGGGCCCGACTGAATCGGGCCCTGATCGGGGCCCGACGGCGCAATCGGGGCCCGACGGTGCAATCGGGGCCCGATCAGGGCCCGACGGTGCAATCGGGCCCCGATCGTCCCGTCCCCAGCCACCCATATTATGGCTCAACGCCGGTTTTCCTTAGTATGCGGATTGCAACTGTATCTATAGTAAAACTAAGCGATGCCAGCTTGGTACAATTGACGCGGGGCGCGATGGCGCAATCGGGCCGATCGGGCCCAAACGGTGCAATCGGGCGGTCCCCGACAGTGCAATCGGGCCCCAACCCAGGCCCGGTGAACCTCGCAAACGCAACTTTCGTGGAGCTCAGCGTGAAACTTTGCTGGAACCTTTCCTCAGGGCCGCCCCATAGCTTTTGCAGAATTTGGTGGAAACCTTCTGACCTCATGGCCCTCGCAGCCTCGTGGAATTCTTGGAACCCAAAGCCCACCAAGCAGCAATGCCATGCATTTATGAGTTCCGCAGCGACGTGATCTGATTTGCCACAAAGCCAACATTTGCCTGAGCAAGTGAGCAAGTCACAAAACAGTGAAAGTGTGCTAAACACCATTGATTTCGGTTTTGCTTAGTGTTCCGCCCATGAGCAAAGCGATATTGATCCGCACGACACACCCTTGGTGGAGCATTGTGGAGCCTTGTGGAACCCGTGTGGAACCCTTGCAGAGCTTTGTGGAACCCTGTGAAACCTCAGGGCCCACAGCCCTCGCAGAATCTTGTGGAACCCTGAAACCCTCATACAACCTTGCCTCAAACCACCCCGGACCACCCCGCAGCCCTCGCAGAACCTTGTGGGACCCTGCTAGAACCGTGCTGGAATGGAACCTTACCTTGCAAAACCTGGTGGAATTCTGTTGGAATTCTCATGGAATATTACCTCAAACCAGCCCGGACCGCTGGTACCCTGGTGAAACCCTGGTGGAACCCTCGTGGAACCTTCCCCGGACCACGCCGCACCCTCGAAGAAAGTGGTGGAACCCTGGTGGAACCCTCGTCCGGAGCACGACGGGCTGGTGGAATTCTGGTGGAAACCTGGTGGAACCCTCGTGGAACCTTACCTCAAACCACCGCAGCCCTCGCAGAACCTGGTCAAACCCTGGCAGAATTCTGGTGGAAATCTGGTGGAACCCTCGTGCCTCAAACCAGACCACCCCAGCCCTCAAAGAAATTGCTGGAACCCTGGTGGAACCCTCGTGGAACCTTGCCTCAAACCAGCCCAGACCACCCCGCCCTTGCAGAACCTGGTGGAACCCTGGTGGAACCCTGGTGGAACCTTACCTCAGGGTCGCCCCGAACCACCCCGGAGCCTATCTGGGCTGAGACCCCAAAGCTTTCAGCTGTTGGGGAAAAAAGAATGGTCCTGAGGACCCGGGAGCCGGGAGCCAAGCGCCCCGAGCCCCCCCCCCTCCGCTTTTTAGCCCGGAGCCTCGCAGGTGAAACTTGATGAGGTGCCCGCCCCGAGGGCAGCTGCGGTGCAGCAGGCTGGCGTGGGGCCGGGCCATCGCCTGCGCCCAGCCTTCGGAGGACAGCAACTCGGGCACGGCCTCGAACCACTCCTGCCGGATCAGGCTGCACATTGGGACCTTTAAGGACCAATGCAACAAGACAAGGCTTATGGCAACGGAAACTCATGCTGACAGGATTTCCTCCTCTCCCTGTCCCTTTCTCCCTCTCTTCGTCTCTCGTTTTTGTATTCTTTCGGGGTACTCTAGCCTGTCCGGTCCTGCCTGGACACTCCGCGTCATCTTCCTTCCCTTCAAAAGCCTCCTGCCTTCTTTGTGGCTCTCACTATTTTTGCCTCTCATCAACTGGAGCTTGCCTCACCTCTTCCTCTACATGGCTTCTGCAGTTGACTCAACTTTCAAATTTCCCTATATCTGAACTATTGAACTTGAGTCAAACTCCGGCTTCCCGCTCCAGTTGACGCAAGTTTCGGCTCGCAGGCTCAATCCTTGACACAATCACGTGACTACTGGCAGGACGAAGCAGGTTGATTTACCACGCACATGCCCTGTGGTGGTCCGAAGTACACCGAGTGGGAAAGTGCTAGTTGGCAAGTCACCGCCGCGCGAGGGCCGCTACTTTGGCGCTACTGATGCTGCGGAAGCGCATACGTTCCAGCGCTGCTGACGCCAAGGATGCTGAGCAGTTTGCAAAAAGTTTCTCTGCCGAGGCACTGGTGGGGGGCCTTCCGCTTTTTCCCGGTCCCAAGAGCTTTCGCCCATCATCCAGCCTCCGACCCGGAAATGCATTTCGAAGCGCCGGGCAGGATCAAGCAGATTCGCCTTGCAAGCGCCACCGAGCGACTGGGCTTCAGGCTTCACAAGCGCGCTGGTGATGCTCAGAATGTTGCGCAGATTGCGGAAGAGCCTTCTTCCAGCGCTCGCGATGCTGAGAGGCTGTTGGGCAAGTTGCTGACTTAAGAGATTTCCTTCTGACGCGTTGATGATGCTGGGGGCGCCTTCAAAACCTGGTCCGCGGAGCTCGCTATTGCGGTCTTTGGTCAAAACTCTCATCGACTGGGCTCATCCCTTTTTCCTCTTTGTTTCTCCTGTCGAAGCAAGTTTCAGCCTTCTTCTTGCCAGCGCCGGCGGTGCTCAGGTTGTTGAGCAATCCGCAGGAAAGCCTTATAAGTGGCGACGCTGGCGCGCCGTCACTGCCGGTAACGAAGCTCGTCTGAAGTTTGGCGGCATCAAGCACAGATTGATTCATCACGCGAACTCCTTCCGTGTTCCGAAGCACGCCATGCTGAGGATGTTGAGCAGGTTATCCGGCGAAAATTGTCTTTGGGGGGGGATATTCGTCCTTGCAGACGCTGAGCAGCCTCCCACATTTAACAGCGCCCCGCTGCCCTCAGCCCCCGAGGCGACACAGCTTCACAGAGCGCTTCCCACAGAGCCGCTGGAGGAATTTCTTCCAGCAACTCATAAGGCAAGACGGGTCTTCTTGAAGATCGCCTATCCAGCCTTCCACGCTTACGCCCCAACCCGGGCCCTCGAAACCTGAGCTTCACGAGGAGCTCAGGACGCATGGGCCCGGAGCCTCCGCGAGAAACCTGGCGCGTCGGTGGCCGGCAAAACGATTGATGCACTTGGCAATTGGCTCCGCACACCTGAAAACACGTGCAAATGATCCGGAGGTATCCGGGATTCTGAAGGCTCGCAATTCCTCCTATGCGAATGGCACAACGCCTTGATGCAACTTCTCGGCCACAATCCGCGGTACCTTCGTCAGGCGCTCCACTGCTCATACTGTATACATTAATATACATATTGTCTCTCTCCCTCTCTGCCAGCCGTCCTCCATGTTGTCTGCAAACGGCGCCATTGTGCGAGTGTACCACGTCGTGCTAGGGTGTTTTGCTGACAGCTGCGGAAGCAACGAGGGGCAAGCAGTAAGGAAAGCATACATAAAGCAAAGGCTGCAATGGTTGGACAGAATGAAAGGATCAAAGCTAAATAAAAATCGTTGATAACAAGCTGCCCTCGCTTTGAGCGGCCCGCAAGCCAAACTGGATCTTGGGAGATCCAGGAGACTATGATGACACCGAAGACCCGTTTGATGCCTTCGGGGCCTCTTTGGATTTGCGTTATCCGCCTGAGAAAGCCGGGTGGGGCGGAAACTGACTCTGAGTGGAAGCCGAATCACCAGTCGGGTGAGATCCAGCTTTGCTGGAAGACACTGCCTTGCGTATCGTGTTTTGCCCTCTGCCAAACCAACACTGCATCCTGAGGTGCAAAAATAGCTGCCTACTTCCATGGGGTCAATTTTTCCTAAGCCAAACAAAACGAACCACTTCCCCTTGGTCCCTACTTGCAACACGGGAACCAACGGTGATTTCCCCCAGTTTTTTACCCAACGCGTGCGAAACCCCTCCCCCCAAATTTTCCGGGCCCTTGGGTCTCGGGAGGCTGGGCCCCCCGTCCAGCGAGAGCATGCCGTCGCCGTCGAGGTCGGCCTACCGGAGCCGCCCGGAGCCCCAATCGTACCCCCAGTGAACATCCGACCCAATCCAACGACTAAAATAGGAAGCCTAAAATGGGCGGCGCTTTCTTTTTTCTACCCCAAAACATGGGACCCCATGGGTTTTGGCAACCACGGCCACACAAGCTTTTGCACCAACAGGATTGGAAGCCACGCAGTGGCAACCAAACACGTTTGGCCTTGAGTCAAAAAAACAAACAAACAAACAAACAAACAAACAAACAAACAAACAAACAAACAAACACCAGCTTTTCCATGAAAAGGCCAACCAACCAAACACCAGGCCATGAGTCATAACACGCCTTGTATCGTTCGTGGCCCACCAACACCCATGAAAAGAACTGAAAGGCCAAACCTCATGGTTGCGAAAGCGGGTGCGCCCCTGGACGATAATTACCCCATCCCCTTGGCTTGAAAGAAAAAACATCAAAACCGGACCCCAGTTTGCTTTTCCAAGGGGCCACGCGTCAAATGGCTGGTCTTCCTTTGGGATGCCCCTCAATACCCCGCCAAAAAAGCAGGCCCCATTATTTTAGCTTTGCCCGAGTCACCCCCTAAGTTGCAGGTTGAAATTCTGACTTTGACAGCCCCAAGAAACATTCTTTTTTGACCCCCCAAAAAAAATGGCATCAGAAAAAAGGAGCCAAAAAAAAAGCGATTCCCCGCGCGGTCCCACTCCCACCGAACCCCCCCCCGCCCCCCTCCTCTCGCCTGCACCGCGGCGCGGGTGCGCCGCAAACGGCCCTCGGTGCCCAGCAGGTTGCTGGGCCGCACGATGTCGTCGATCTGGAAGTCCAACATCTGGCGACGCCGCGAAGTCCGCGGCTTTTCGTCGCGGAAACGGATCGAAATGAAACACAACCGCCATAAACGATGGTTTGTTTAGGGAGACCTAAAGCAAAAAATTGGGCATGTTGGGGGGTCCCCAAAATTAAACCAGGATATGGACCGCAGGTTGAAGAGTCCGTCCTTGTTTCCACTTACCAGGGTTCTCTTTTGGGTGCCTATTTTTGCCCCACACCCTTTTCGATTGGAAAGGGGAAGCAAAAGGAGACCAACAATTGGAGGCGCCCGCGAGTCTTTCGGACCAATCCCATGTTTTGGCTCCCTTCCAGGCACCAGCTCATTCCCTCGCTTGCAATGCTTGCAAGGGGGACGAGGAGACCAAGGTGCCCACAATTGTTCGGGACAGAACCAAAAGGAGACCAAGGTGCCTGTGAGTCTTCAGACCAATCCCATGTGAACCACCAAAAACATCGAGTTTGTACCAGCACGCGCGCAGAAACCGCCCGCGCCCCGCGAGCTTTTTGCTGCCATAGAAGCTGACGCCTTCACGCAGCGGCATAACATGCAGCCCGTCTTGAGACGGGCGGGATCCAACCCACGGGCCATGCAAAAAGACTTCCTCGTAGCAAGCCCTTCCCGGTGGGAAGCGAAAATAGTCCTCTGGCAAACTGTAAGCATCCTTCAACATTTTCTTCTGCCAAGCTATGCTTTAATCTGTTGAAACAGCTTCCTCTGGGATGCAAACAGAACACCATCTCGCGTTCAGAGCCGCCGCTGGTTGAAACCGTCCTGACATCTCAAGGGAAACCAACTTCGAACTGCTGCAAAAAAGGGTCCTCAATGGCGAAGGGAATGGAGATGAAGCAAAACATCGAGCAAATTCCAAAGATCACGAAGAGCGACCACCTAGGCCGTGATTGCAATGCAGGAGGCTATGCAAAAGTCAGTCTAAGGTCCGCGCTTTGTGAATGAACCAAGCTTGTGACCTTCGGGAAGAGTGTACGCCGCGAGATACCTGCGACCAAAGTGCATACAATCAAAACCGGGTACGACGAAGGTCAGACAGCCCCAAGCATATATCCATTGACGTCAGTCGAGCCTGTAGTAGCTATGTTGGGTCTGTGTCACAATCCTTGTCAAAGCCGCAGGGTTTGAGGGCCTGCATTTTGGCCTGCATTCTTCCCAGTGGTGTCGTGAGTGAAGAACTTGCCTGGGTCCTGGAAAATACTCAGTTTTGCCCCAGCATCTGCAACATCCCCAGCATCCCTAGCCTTGGTATCAGGTGTTGCTGGTGGTCTTGATGTTGGCTTGGTCTAAGGAAGCTTACAAGGCACTTCCACAGTTCTGGCGCTAAGTGAAGAGAAAAGAAGAGAAGGCTAGCTGTCGTTTGAAAGTAGATGAGAGCGGAGAAGAGAAGAGAAAAGAAGAGAAGGCTAGCTGCCGGTGGAAAGTATGAGAGAGGAAGGAGAAAAGAAGAGAAAAGAAGAGAAGGCTAGCTGCCGGTTGTAAGTAGATGAGAGCGGAAGGAGAAGAGAAAATAAAAGAAGAAAGGCTAGCTGTCGTTTGGAAGTATATGAGAGCGGAGAGAAGAGAAAAGAAGACAAGAGACGAGAAGAGAAGACCTTGTGCGCGTTTCGCGTGACACTTGGAAGCGCAAACCACAGGTACCGATTTTGAAAGCACTTTCGCAAGGTCAGGTATTGGCAGGCGCACTTTCGCAAGATACCCTGACAAACGCAGCACTTTCGCAAGGTCAGGTACGGATTTCTGGCAGGCGCAGCGCTTTCGGAAGATAGATAAATAGATAAACGGATAGATGGCTAGATAGCTGCATAGCTAGATTAGATTGATAGAAACATAGATAGAAAGATAGATTGAAACAGATTAGATGAGGCAGAGAGAGAGAGAGAGAGTGATAGAAAGTGATATTAGACAGAGAGAGAAAGTGATATTAGAAAGATTGGATAGCTGGCTAAATAGATAGATAAGGGAAACGCAGACCACCTCTGGCGCGATAGCTGGACAAAAAAAGCTGGCCGGACAGATAGATAGCCTAAAAGATAGACAGCTGGACAGATAGCTAGCTTGACATGTAGATAGCTTGACAAACAGACAGCCCAACAAATAGATAGCTTGACATGGCTAGCTTAACAGAAAGAAAACTGACAAATAAGTGGCGTAACAAATAGATAGCTGGACAGATATAGACAGCTTGAAAACTTGAAAAGGGTAGCTTGCAAGAAAGAAAACTTGACAGATACGTGGCCTACCAAATAGATAGCTGGACAAACAGGCAGCTTCAGGCGGGGGCCGCGTCAGGTAGCTAGCTTGACAAATAGATAGCTCAACGAATAGTCAGCTTGAGATTGTTCGCCTGGCAGATAGCTCGACAAATAGTCAAGTGTAAATGCAACAAGCGCAAGTGACACAATCTGACAACAAGGCCTGCCGGGTTACTGATCAAACAATCTGAGGCATTATCTGGCACTTGTGGCTCGCACACTGGCACAGAGTATCAGCTGGTGTAGATAGCTTAGTTGGCAAACCCCGTCCTTTCCATTTGGTCAAGGGTCAAAATCCCGTACCCCCAGTGAACATCCCAATCTCCATTAAAATAGACTAAAATGGGTGGTGCACCTACCCCAAAATGGGATCCCATTGGTTTTGACCCAGCTTTGATCGAGTGAAGCCAATCCCGGCCAGCCGAGCTGCCACAGCGAAAAGATGGTCGGTGGCATTAGCAGCCCGTTGATGAACTGTGTCCAAACCTCGAGCAGAGCTACTTTGCAGCAAGAATCCAAGCGTCGTTCATTCGAAAGACGGCAAACAAAAAAAAGAATCCACGAGTCGACAATTTTGAAAGACGGCCAAAAATCGTGAAAAATGCCTGGCTGAAAAAGATCCTGACTCCAACAGGTTCTCAAACAGCGCCCAGAGACGGGCGGGCGCTTCACCCGCATCGACCATGGACCTATCCACCTGGGGCGCGCACACCTGTCAGCGCCACCGCGAAGGTGGGGGTGAAGATCGTGAGGGCCCAGGCCACCAAGCAGGTGAGGAAAAACCTACAGCCCGTTTCGGGAAAAGGAAAAACGATCCGAAAGGGAAAATCCATATATGACTTCAGTACCTCCAAAAGCTTGGTGAAGACTCAGTGAGGAAACACCTACCGCGCGTTTCGCAAAAGAAGATCCACTGGATCGCCAGTTGCGATCGTTTTTTTCCCCCATGAGCTTTACCCCAAAAACCAGCAACAGTTACTGAAAAAAGCAGCAGCAACTTGGCTATCTAGGCCGTGGGTAAAGGGAAAATCAATATATGACTTCAGCGAGGAAAAGAACTTCGGCCGGTTGGCAAAACGGAAAATCGATGTTTCTGAGAAACACCCTCCAAAAGCTTGGTGAACCTCTTTTGAGGCGCGAAACGTTGCCTCCCCCCTTTTCGCTGGTTTTTCCGTGGACGGATCTGGGTGCGACCCTATCCATGGTCGACACCCGAAAGGGGTCGAGCGCGTCGGCCCGGATCTGAGCAGCCGGCGAAGCATAGAAAATCGGCCTCAGGCTGGGGGAATTGGACCAACGAAACCGTGGGTCACTTGAGTCACAATCAACACCCGGGAATTTATTGGAATTGTCGACCCAGGACCATGCTACCCTCCAAGTACCCGGGTGAGTGCGACTCACTGCGGCCCCCCTGACCAAGCAAAAAGAGTACCCGGATCGCCAGCTGCTGCGTTGTCCCAGCCACGAGAAACCCATTATGCATTTTTGAGTAAAGTGGCTGGAAAAAGCGATCGCAACTGGGCGATCCAGGTGCCCGCTCGCAAAAAAAGGCGCGCCTCTCTTGCACGTTGCGCGAAACCCGCTGCAGCATGCCTCTACAATCTCGCGGTCCCTCTCCCGCAGGCAAGCCTCAATCTTGCAGTCTGTCTTCCAAGGTCAAAGGCAAACCGCACAGCAGTACCAGAGGATGCATCTCTTGAGTGTACCACGTTTATGGGGCCGCTTGAAATGGAGAAAATGGCCCATTTCGGGGGAGACCCCCCTTGTTTTTGAGACGACCCCGCCCTTCTATCCCCCAAACCGGTCTAAGTCCCAAGACCAAAACCCGGAGCCGTGGGGGTCCCTTCGGCTTGCCAGCGCCCCCTTCCATCCCATCCATCCGCCGGCGCACTGGAGCGGCCAAGCACCTCCTCTAGCGCCCAAGACCCGCAGAGCGACACCACCTCGGCGAGCTCTGGATCGGCAGGGAAGGAGCTGGAAGGAACCGCCAATGAGCCCATCCCCTATGGTGTCCTTTGAGTTCATTCCAACTGGAAGGTCATTCCCGAATCGCACCAGCAAGTTATTTGGAGAGCCCCGTTAAAGAACAGAAGGAAGCTGGAAGCGCCGGCCTCGAACCAAACTACCTGCTCTTGCACGAAAAATGACATGTTCTCATTCTGCATCGTAGGCCGAACCTCATTAACCAACTAAGGGTTTCCCGAAGCCTGCGCATAAATGACGGGATCCTTGCGCAAGCAAGGCAACTTCCTGCTGTAGCCACGGTCAAAATATGGAGTTCCCACCCATGAAGCAAAGGAGAAACCCCGGGTTTTTTCCCGGGTTTTGCGGTTGACATTTCGTGAGTTTCGCCGGTCGCCGTGTCCCTCAATGAGCAAGACGATCTCACTTTACTTAATACACAAACAACCAATCGAGCAAGAACACAGATCATGAAAGTGAAAGAGAAAAGACAACGAGCAGAGAGTATGTACAAGAGGCTTGCAACAAATCAATGAACTAGCATCATGTTCCCAACAGCATTCCAGAACCAAACCGCTTTCCACAAATCCTGGAAGTGGACAGAAGGGTCCGGAGAGCGACCATCAACTTCAAGAACACAGTTGAGAGAACACCCTGGATCGCCAGTTGCTGCTTTTTTCCATGCACTTTACCCCAAAAACCAGCAGCAGTGACTGAAAAAAGCAGCAACTTGGCTATCTAAAACCATTCTGCAAAAGGCCCCCTTTGATA